GTCAGCCGCTGGCCCCCATGTGCCAGCTTCCACCAGGCAGCGCTGGAGCCTCACCCTGCACCCCCCCCCACGGTGAGCCCCCTTCATGCCTTACCTTGTACAGTTTACTGCTGGCTGCCTGCAAGCTGAGCCCTGGGGAGGCATGACACGGGATTAGTGAGACCCCAGGAACCTCCCAAATCACTGCCCCAGCGAGCTCAGGTCCTGCCCACTGGTCGTCGCTGGGCAGCAGCGCCCGGGGGCAGGGAATGAGTCAATAGGGGCTGCAGTGTCCGGCCCCAGGCCGTGTGTGCCATCCCTCCACCCAGCCCCTTCGCCCCCATCACCACTGGCTCTATTCCGTCCTGGGAGCAGGGGGTGGGTTGCCCAGAAGTGGGGCTGGCAGGGCAGGCTTGAGACACTCACCGGGGATGAGGATAGTCCGGAGCGGGCGCACCTCCACGCCCTGGGCAGGGTACTCCAGCGGGGAGTTGGCTCTGACGATCAGCAGCTGGTCAGCTGGAGACTGGGTCCTGGGCGGGGAAGGAGGGAGTGAGGGGGATAGGCCCAGCTCCAGCCGTGCCCCAGGCAGGAGGGGGCGGGGGCCTCTCTGGCTTTATGACCCAGGCGTGAGGACCCTCCCCAGCCCTTTGCCCCCTCCCCAGCGTGACTCACCGCTGCCGGTAGCTCTGGTACTCCTGTTCCCGGCTGCTGCGGAGCCGCGCCAGCTCCGCGGGGCCGAGGGCGGAGGCGAACTCCAGCGAGTAGAGGTGGCTGAAGAGCTGTTTGGGGAAGGGCAGCTTCCCGCCGGGCGCCACCTCGCACAAGCAGGAGTTCCTGGGCAGCAGCCTGCGGAGACCAGGGACCCGGTCACGCCCGCCTGCCCCTGCCCCGGGCCGATGCCCCTGCCAGCCTGCCCCTGCCCTGGGCCGATACCTGCCTGCTACTGCCCCAGGCCGATGCCCCTGCCAGCCTGCCCCTGCCCCGGGCCGATGCCCCTGCCAGCCTGCCCCTGCCCCAGGCCGACACCTGCCTGCTACTGCCCCAGGCCGATGCCCCTGCCAGCCTGCCCCTGCCCCAGGCTGATGACCCCATGGAAGGGGTGGGGACCCCAGTGCTGGGAAGAGGGGGGGAGTCTGGGGACCCTCCCCCCACGAGCAGGCAGGGCTCTGGGGAAGTGTCCACTGGGGAAGGGCTGGGAGCCAGGAAAATCCACTTCCCAAGGCCCATCTCAGGAGCCAGGCTGCAGCCCTACCCGTAGGGGCCAGTCCCGTATCCACCCCAGCCAAGGCCCTGCTGGGGCTTCCCCAGCCCTGGCCACCCCCTCCCGGCCCGCCCCCCACCCATCCCCAGGATGGGGTCGGGCAGAGGTCCTTACTCGACGATCTCCTCCTTGAGCCGGAAGGGGATGTGGGCGAACTTGTTGGAGGGGCCCAGCAAGGGCTCGCCCAGCAGCTGCTCGGGGGCTTGGTCTGGCCGGTTGCGCAGGTCGACTGTGCTGTAGGACTTGGGCAACCAGACGTGCAGGTAGAGCAGGGCTAGGGATGCCGTGACCACCAGCAGCAAACACAGGGACTTCTGCACCAGACGCATCCTGCAGGGGGCAGCGGGGAGGTGAGTGGGGGTGCCCCATGCCGGCCGGGGAGGGGGGATCTGGGCTGGGGGCTCCGGGGGGCCCCAGCCTGGCATGTGGGTTCAGGGACTGCGCCCACTTCCGTCTCCGCTCTGTTTGGCTCCCAGCTCCAACCAGACTTTGCTTCCCGGGTCAGTTCTTGGCCCGGCGCCCCTTTCCTAGCCTGGACCCGCCAGTTGCGGTGGGACGTTGCATCACGTTGACTTAAAGATTAATCTCAACGCCCTGGAGACCCCAGGACCACCTAGGAGGGTTGGCAGTGCTACCTGGGGCGCTGGGCAGCTGTTGGGGGGGTTCAGAGGGGGGGCAGGGGGTTCTGGATTCTCACCCTCCCCGCCGCAATGGAGATGGGGGCCCAAGAGGGGAGGGCTCCGAGTGCGTGGAACTTGGGTGGACCTGCTTTCAAAGGGCATCGGGCTGGATCCACGCTGCCAGGGCAAAGGGTAAAATGCTGCTGTGCCAGCCTGCGATACCCACCCCCCGCTGCCCCCACAGACCTGCTTCTGCCCCCAGCGGGACCGGCTTCTGGTGCCTCCCCGTTGACGGGGATGGGCCTGGCTCTCAGCCCTGTTCCTCCCCGGGCAGCCGTTTACACTCGTGCAAAGCGGGTGTGAAATCGGCGTGGCACCAGTTATGCACAGGGGAGTGGGGGACCAAAGCCGGTGCAGGGCAGCACAGCTTCCAGCCCCCGGGAAAGTGGGGCGGAGCCCACGACCCAGCCTTGGGAGCTCGTGCTGTCTGCCCGAGGGAGCTGGCTCGGCCCTGGCTGGTGCCAGCGGGTGAAGCAGGGTCTTTGCTGCAAGGGGCATGTTTGCCAACAAACAGAGGGCGAGAGGAATGCTGGAAAACTCGTTTAACCTGCGGCGCTGCTGGGCCGGCTCTGAGCTGGGTGCCAGGCTGGCAGAGCGGCTCAGCACCCACCGGCCCGCGGGGCTGGCTGCGAGGAAGGGATCCTGCCCTAGGGTGACCAGATGTCCCGATTTTATAGGGACAGTCCCGATATTTGGGGCTTTTTCTTATATAGGGTCCTATGACCCCCCCCAACCCCGTCCCGATTTTTCACACTTGCTGTCTGGTCACCCTATCCTGCCCTGTTCTCGAGGTGTGGGGTGGCGGCTGGCCGCTCAGCCCTTCTGAACATCCACCTCTTCATTCTTCCTGGTCCTTGCGCCCTTTGAAAAACCTCCCACCAGGCATTGCCATTTGGTGGGTTAGGGCAACACCGAGAAGTGCTGACTGAGGTCAGGGCCCCATTGTGCCGGGCACTGCCCTGACCCCGACCAAGATCATGGCCCCTTTGTGCCAGGCGCTGCCCCGACCGAGATCAGGGCCCCGTTGTGCCGGGCACTGCCCCGACCGAGAATTGTGCCGGGCACTGCCCTGACTGAGATCAGGGCCCCCTTGTGCCGGGCGCTGCCCCGACCCCGACCGAGATCACGGCCCCGTTGTGCCGGGCGCTGCCCCGACCCCGACCGAGATCATGGCCCCGTTGTGCCGGGCGCTGCCCTGACCCCGACCGAGATCACGGCCCCGTTGTGCCGGGCGCTGCCCCGACCCAACCGAGATCATGGCCCCGTTGTGCCGGGCGTTGCCCCGACCCGACCGAGATCACGGCCCCGTTGTACCGGGCACTAACCCGACCGAGATCACGGCCCCGTTGTGCCGGGCACTGCTCCCCAGCAACTGCATTGTGTTAACCGGCTCAGAGTCTGCCAGTCTCACTCTTCATTATTCGTATTACCAGGGGGCCACAGACCAGGGCCCCGCTGCGCTAGGGGCTGCACAAAGAACGGAAAGACAGGCCCTGCCTCAGGAAGCTTCCAATCTAACGTGGCGCTCAGAGGGCGGCTCCCGGCGCGGCACTAACCTGGGACGTCCTGGATCCAGGCCCTTTCGGGAGCGGTGGGAGGAGGAGCCGCTTCCTTCCCAAAAGCGCCTTGAAGCACCGTCCTGGGGGGTCGCCAGACAGCTTCAGACCGAGGGAGAAGCAACTCTGTTTACCCAGCACCGGATGAGAGCAACAAACAGGAAGGGGCCCTGTGGAAAACATCACACGGGAGATGCTATTACGTTTAATGTTATCTACACAATGTCACAACAACTTCTCACGCAATCAGGGCCGGCCCTAGCTTTTTTGCCGCCCCGAGCGGCAAAGCAGAAAAAAACCCAAAAAGATAAAGCCGCGACCGGCAGCACTTCGGCAGCAGCTCTACCGCCGCTTCGTTCTCCGGCGGCAATTTGGCGGCGGGTCCTTCGCTCCGAGAGGGACTGAGGGACCTGCCGCCGAATTGCCGCCGAAGACCCAGACGTGCCGCCCCTTTCCATTGGCCGCCCCAAGCACCTGCGTCCTTCGCTGGTGCCTGGAGCCGGCCCTGCACCCAGTTCTTTCCTGCTCGCCTCACACAATCCTCGCTCCTACAAATCTCGCGTTATTAGGATTACAGTTAGCTTGACTCTTGCTAACGAACTGTCATGCATTGCAATCCCCTTCCTGTCCGTTCTTTCTCTGCTTCCACACCCAGCATTCCCCGCCGTCCCCAAATTCCTGCTGTCAGGCTACACCCCACTCCGCCTCTGCCCCGAGCGGCCCTGCGTTCCCTGTGGGTGCTGAGAAACCTGCTGCTATCTGCCTGCAGCCCGGTCAGAGGCCACGCACAGCCCCAGGGAGGGGGAACCAAGAATGCAACCCCTCAAACAACCCCAAAGGCACGAACGCTGCCCTCCAATCCGGTCCCCGCTGCCACCCCCGTTGCCAGGATCCCAGGGAATCCCCTCCCCCCCCCCAATGGCGAGATATTCCCACGCGGCCCTGCCGCGAGTCACCAGCGGCTGACTCAACTTCCTTCCTGCCCCCGATTCCAGTCTCCGGGACGTTTTGTGGTCCGCGTGGGTGACGGCTCCACGGCGTTCTCGGGAAGGGCGATGCCAGCAGTGGGGCTGCTGAATGCAGGGAGGGCAGGTCTGCGGGAGTTGCCTCCTGGGCTCAGATTCAGTGGGGCACTAGGCGGGTGCAACCCCACCTTTACGTCTATCAAAGGTGTCACAGAGGGTGGGGGGACACACCCCGCCCCCGGAATCCTGCCCCACCGGAAAGCCCAGCGCAAAGGAATGGTCCAAACACCTCAGGCCCCCGGCTCCAGTCCGATAGGGGCAGATATTTCCAGCTGGGGCCCCTGCACCTGCCCAGTGCACCCCACCCCTCATGCTGAGAGCTCTGCCGCAACCCCCGGGGCAGAGACGGATGTGGCCATTGTCTGCACAGAACGTAGGCCCCTCCCTTCTGCCACCCAGCGCCTCAGGGTAGGGCCAGGGTGGGTGGGAGCACACCTGCACCGTGGCTGGTTTCCGGAGCCCATGTGTGCTCAGCTGGGATAAATCAACTGGCACGGTGGGCAGGATCTGACTGGAAACCCAGGGCAGAGGGGCTGGTCCTCCAGGCTGTCCTGCTCTGGAGGTCATGGGCAGGGCAAAAGGCAGGCCCTTCAGCCCTGGGGGTAAGCTGCTCCCCCCTCCGGCAGCCCCTCAGGGCGGGAACCGGGGCCAGGGGCTGCTCCGACGAGAGAGAGGAATGAAAACCCGCTTGTGATTCCCTCTGCCCCCTGCCCCCCGGCGTCCGTCAGCCACGAATCCACGCAAAGCCCGGAGCTGGGCCCAACTGGGGCAAAGTACCCCCCCCCCCGCTGGCCCACTGAGGTTCTCTGACCCCAAAGCACCCCCCCACTGGCCCACTGAGGTTCTCTGACCCCAAAGCACCCCCCCACTGGCCCACTGAGGTTCTCTGACCCCAAAGC